GTAGAAATATCAGGGATGGGTCCATAGAACTGTGATGTAGTTGAATGGGGCAGTTAGTGAGGATTGAACTCACTACTCAGTCGTAATTGATCTAGCGAGACAAACTTGCTAACCATTACACCGCGTCGAAGTGGCCAAAATGATTTTCTAAGTCTAGCTTAGATATGACACAAAGCCGAAAGTGTGGAAGAACCAGTGAGAATCGAACTCACTACTCAGTCGTAATTGATTTAGTGAGACAAGCTTGCTACCATTACACCCCGTGAAAGTGCCCGTTTGGGTGTTGAATATAGAATGAGAATTATTAATTCATAATGTGAGAGCCTGGGTGTGTGAGAAACATAATTAGACATTTACATACCATTGACATAAGACTGTAGAAAATTCTAGTCTTGGTCCCGACATGGGTTAAGTCTGTAGCAATTTGAACGCATGACTCCTGAGTTAACATAAAATATCAGGCAAACCACGTTCTCTAGCATTAGGCGGCAAGCAATCTAGGATTAGAACAATTCAGCATTCTCAACCAGCCTGAAGAGGGATAGGCTTCGTCAGGCTATCTTGCATTAAAAACAACCACGGCTGCAGTAAATGTGATGTCCCTACGACGCTAATTGTCTACAGGACTTGTGATCGTTACCTGGTTTCGTCTTTTCCATAGAAACCGAATGAAATAAGTTTACCTAAGTATTGTGGTAAGAGCCAGTTACCCTGCTTACTATCATGAATGGACTGATCCATTAATGATAAGTAGTCATTGGTAATTGCCTAGGAAAAAAGAAGATTGCAGTGACTTGGCTAGTTGAGTATTGAATACTACTATCACGACTGACTCGGTCGAGTTAAGTGTTGTGTCTTGACAGACCCCACATCACAACACAAAGAAATGTGAAATGTACTGTAAATACGCAACACTTTGTCTACTGTCAGTACTGTCGTGTAATCACCGAAACCGCCTCAACTATTTCATGACACACACTTCAAAATCATCAACAGAGACATGATTGGCTTTGAAGGGTTCCTGAAAATAAATCGCTAATTTCAAAGCATCACAAAAATAAACAAAATAGAATCATTTATGTTAACCAGGTTAATGCAATAACGTATATCACTGTACGGCACATTGCTATAATTAGATTCGGACAAATATGTGCGTTTGTTAACGCATGTATTTGGCCGGTCATATCTGGAAATATTTATCAACTGAATATATATATATATATATATATATATATATATATATATATATATATGAGTGTGTGTGTGTGTGTGTGTGTGTGTGTGTGTGTGTGTGTGTGTGTGTGTGAAAAGTGTATATAAATATAAATAACTATATATATGTATAATTATTTATATATTATATGCGCAGTACTTATTAGAAAGCGCTCAATATCAGAGAAGAGCTAACATATTTGGTTGGATAGATGTGAGTTTGTGACCCTGGGTTTCACGCTTTAGCGATCGTCAGACAAACCGTGAAACCCAGGGTCACAAACTCACATCTATCCAACCAAATATATATCCACACTGAAGAGCTGTGATACAGCGAAATAGTCTGTCTGTCGATGACAATATACATACATATATGTTGAAACAAAATAGCTATTTTTGTAGTGATTTTATAACATATTTATGCTATAATTTTCGAATAAATAATTATATATATATATATATATATATATATAACAGTTATTGGTCAGACTTAAATTAGACCGGGAAAAACTTGTATTAAAAAGTGTATACACGGATATGAAATAAAAATAAAAATTTAACATGAAAATCTTTTAAATTAAAAAGAATAAAAGTAAAAGATACAAATAGCCAGAACAATATATCCGTGGAGTTTACTGAAGGCAGATTTTAAAAAATGGTAAAATCACAAGTCATCATTCAAGCCAGAAAGCCTTAAGAATCCCAGACTATCCAGCCATGTGTGGGAATTAAAAGAAAAATGAACAAAAATCCGATTGTAAACTGGAAAATATTTTAAAAAGCCAAATCATACAGCAATCTTAGTGATATCTGTAAAATGTACCATGAAGAAAAGGTAACAATAATAACATTTCCAGACTCAAAAACTCTACTTAATAAGATCGGGAATAATGACACGATGCATAAGCACTAAAAAAAGTACTTTTTGAGTTCGTACGAAGCAGGATGAAAGTAAGTACATTTTATTTACCCTCCCTCCAATACAATTTCAATATTCTTGTTTTTCTCCTCCCTTTCTTTTGTACTTCACGTTGTGAGTTTATATATAAATAAAGTGTTAGGAAATCATTTGTCCTATATCGCCTGAGGATACCGATGGGTTGAAACCAATGTACGTGATCGGCTGATCCTCTATTTATATATATATATATATATATATATGTGTGTGTGTGTGTTGGTATATATATATATATATATTTATGAACCCGAAAATAATAATTAGACTTTTATTTACATTAATCCCTGAGTTAGAAGGTAAAATAAATTTGCGGAATCATATTGCTTGTATTTTGGTTTATTTATTCCATTTGTTTGGTCGTTTTGGAGGGGGAGTAGTTGACACGAATGCTGGAGACCTGTAAAAAAACATATAAACTCTTTTCTTCAATCTATCTTACAGTCTTTTGCCGTCAACAAATAAAAACGATATCAATCTTCGTCATATTTGAAAGGTAAAGGAAACTAGTGGAATTTACAGGGTGCAATGGGTAAATTGTCGCCATTTTATATTTTTAATTTCGCGCATGCGCGTTGTTTATTTTTGATTTTCTCAACTGCGCAGTACAGTAGGTTCAGTAAGGCATCGTCTTTGAGAAAAAAGACGCAATTTACTCGGCCATAAATTTGAAAATGGCATACTGTATTGCTTGACATTCGTACTAGCAGCTCCAACACAAACATTTGAGAGTGTTTGGGCGTCAATGTGAGGACAGTGCAGAGGATTCGGAAAGAGTTGGATGAATCTAATGGTGATTACCAATTTGTTTGCAGTGATCACTCGTGATGGCGACGTCATGACTCCTTTCATCTTCCCACAGTGCCTCAGATTCAACACAGAGGCCTACATCAAGGGTCTCGAGGAGGTAGGGCTGCCCTGGGTGTAGTAGAAGGCTGCTGAAAGAACCTATGTCTGGTAGCAGGACACTTCACCATACCACACAAGCAGGAGAACACAGTCATTGCTGTCAGACAACTTCTGCGACCACATGCAGCGATCAATTTTTAGTTCTTCTGTAGTTTATTGTTGCCTATCGCATCTACTCCTCCCAAATTTTTGTGATGTAGGCCAAATCAAGAACCCTCCGCAAGCTAGTATAGTAATTTTCAAAGCGTAGCTTAGATGTGGCATAAGGCCGAAAGTATGGAGCACCGAGTGAGGATCGAACTCACTACTCAGTCATAATTGTTCTAGCAACCATTACACCACCTCGAGTTGCCCGCAAGGTAAATTTATATATATATATATATATATATATATATATATATATATATATATATATATATATATATATATATAATGTCATCCACAGACAGAATCTTTCGCTGTATCACAGCTCTTCAGTGTGGCTAGACGTCTTGTTGCCTTTAGCTAGGATCGAAACCCGATTGAATTGGCGTCAGTCGGAGATTCTACCACGGCAGGGATGATATATATATATATATATATATATATATATATATATATATATATATATATATATATATATATATATATATATATATATATATATATATATATATAATGCAAATGCTTAGAATTTTAGTTTTTATCATTTCCATGTGTTCTGTTTTCGGGAATACTGTAAAATTCTTATTTAAAATGGCTAATTTATTCGCAACCAAAAAAAGCGGCTACATTTTCCAAAGTTACTCCCGAGAATTGATCACCTCTATCGCATACCTAACGAGTTGTTTCCAGACATTTTAATGTTTTTCGTATTACATTTGACCATTAGGAACACACTCATAGTCAAATCAACCAATCTTTTCCTGTTGTAACTGACTACCGTATACTGAACGCAAACTCACACATAATTCACCAATGATCACTGCTGACTCAGCTCTTGATTTCAACAGGAACAACATTTTGAAATAGCCTAAATACGCTGACTGTTGAAACCAAAGATTTAATTGGTTGTCCCTTCATATAGCATACAGATTTATGTACAAGAGCAAGAATGTTATTGGTTTTTCAAAATATTCTCGTATAGGAGTGATTATGAATATTCATTAAGTTAGCTCCTACTCATTTTCGTTTATTAGGCATTGAACTGTATCATCTCACCTTGTGTTACATCTGACTGCGTGGGGCAGTTGCTAAATACCGTCATTCTACACAACTTTAAACACAAGGTTAGGAAGGAAACTCCCATCAATACTGAAAATAGTGATAATAGCTACTTAACTTGAGAACCTATTTTCTTCAAAAGTTGTTTTAAGAGAAATTATAAATTTCAACCGACAGTGGCTACTCGATCAATGAATATTGAATATTTCCTTATAAGGAAACAGTTACTATTACCTTTACTATTACAAAATGCTTCTGTAACATCATGGCTTTATTCGTGATCTCAAATTCTCTTTTTCCGTTTGTTTCGTCAGATAAAATCTCCAATAAGATTGAACGACTAGAAAAGCCAGGGTCTTATCTGTAAATATCCACAGAACTGTCTTTCGAACTCTTCGTAATAAAGAATCCGATCACCGTGACATCTCGTGGCAGATTCTTGTATTTAAAGACTTTTCAACTGAGATTCGAGATGGCTACTGTGTAGGATAGGATGCGATGGAGATTTTACTCGATAAACAAATAGCTTTCTACTGTTTCATCAAAGAATTCGCGATAAGGCTTCCTGGCTTCGTTTCAATATAAAACAAGATAAGTAAATTAATTATAAAATCTAATGCTAGGTGTTATTGACTCTGTCATCGAATAAATTAAGTTTTCGTATTATTACTACAAAGACAAGGAGACGTTGAAACCCAACGACGCAGTGAAAAAGATTAACATTCATTCATGTAACTTAATAATCTGGTAAACTGTTGTACTTCAGATAGATAGATAGATAGATAGATAGATAGATAGATAGATAGATAGATAGATAGATAGATAGATAGATCTAAAAAAAACAGAACTAGATAGATAGATAGATAGATAGATAGATAGATAGATAGATAGATAGATAGATAGATAGATAGATAGATAGATAGAGAAAGAAAGAGAAAACTGGTTAATAAAAGAAAGAAAACATAAAAATAGAATAAAACAGTGAGAAAAAAACAAAAAGAAAAGGTGAAATATAATAGAAAACCAAAGGAAAAAAAAATAAAAAAGACGCAGAATGAAAGAAAAGAAATGAAAGGGGAGATAGATAGATAGATAGATAGATAGATAGATAGATAGATAGATAGATAGATAGATAGATAGATAGCGAGAGAGAAATGAAAAGATCGAGTAGATAGATAGGTAGATAGAGAGAGAGAGAGAGAGAGAGAGAGCGAGAAAGAAATGAAAAGATCCAGTAGATAGATAGATAGATAGATAGATAGATAGATAGATAGATAGATAGATAGATAGATAGATAGATAAAACGGCTGCTGCTAAAGTGACAGAGGAGGAGAACCTAGAAATACTTACAGTAGCAAAAAGAGAGCGCGTGGAAAGAGAGGAAGCGTTCACTTGTATTGAAAACGAAAGAAAAAAGAGAGAGTGTGAACGAGAAGGAAAGAGGTAAGATTTGAATAGAGAAATGTAACAAGGCTTAAAAAGAGAAAAAGACAGATAGATAGATATAGATAGATAGATAGATAGATAGATAGATAGATAGATAGATAGATAGATAGTGAAGCACAGCTCTGAATACAAAACATGTTTGGAGTGAGGCTAGCAAGTTCAGCCCGTAAGAACCGATTTACTACTGAAACCTCAGCAGCAACCACGTTATATCTCAATACTGAACAATGCATGCATACATGTGGCTAATAAAGGAAATAATTGACAAGCTGATAAATTGTCTAGATGGAATATATGTAAACCAGTTTATTTAAAATAGAACTGAATCCCATTTTGGAACATATGTACACACACACACACACACACACACATATATATATATATATATATATATATATATATATATATATATATATATATATATATATTTAAAACATTTCACCCCAAGCAAGGCGGGAAGCCACTAGGACGCAAGGGGTTACAGAAAATTTAGAGCAAGATCAGATAGTGATAGAAGAAAGGATGAGGAGGAGGGTAGTGGATAGATCAAGGCAACTGGAGATGTCGATTGACATTACACTTGAATAGCTGGAGATTATAGCTCTCAGAGAAACTGGAATAGGGAAGGGAGTTCCACGGGCGAGAGGTGCGAGACATGAAGCTATTGGAGTAGAAGAGACGGCTACATTTAGGAGTTTCGACAGTGAAGGGGTAAGAGCGGGATGCCAGCCTCGTAGGGCGCTTGAACTCATGAAGTCTTGGAACCAGCGAATGCAGCTCCTCGGAGCAATTGCCATGAAAGTATTTGTAGAACAGAAAGAGAGAGGCGACGGCGCGTCTGTGAGAAAGTGACTGTAGACGAGATACCAGAGCAGGGCCAATTATATTGCATATCCGCCTCTGGAGTCTATCAAGAACCCCGAGGCAAACAGAAGGGGCACCAGACCATATATGGCAACAATACTCCATGCGAGGGCGAATTGTTGATTTGCAGATCTGGAGGATCGATTCCGGGGAGAAAAATTTCCTAGCGCGACACAGGGAGCTAACTTTCCTTGCGGTGGACGAAGCAATGTGTGGATGACTTTATATATAAATATATATAATATATATATAAGCGTGAAACCCAGGGTCACAAACTCACATCAGTCCCACCAAATATGCTAGCTCTATCTCTGATATTGAGCGCTTTCTAATAAGTACCGCGCATATAATATATAAAAAATTATACATATATATATTTATTTATATTTATATACACACACTTTTCACATATATATATATATATACTTTATATATATATATATATATATATATATATATATATATATATATACTTTATATATGAATATTGAGCGCTTTCTAATAAGTACCGCGTATATAATATATAAATAATTATACATATATATATTTATTTATATTTATATACACACACTTTTCACATATATATATATATATGCTTTATATATATATATATATATATATATATATATATATATATATATATATATATATGAATATATATATATATATATATATACTTTATATATAAAGATATATATATATATATATATATATATACTTTATATATAAAGATATATATATATGTATGTATGTATGTATATAATAAGCCGTTTTTATTTAATGTCAAGTTTTTTTTAAATATAAACAGACTTTCATATCAGATTTTTTTTAATATACACAGACTTTAAACGGGAGGAGAGGGTACTTACCTATAAGCTACTCTTACGCCTAACTCCACAATTTCCTTTTTTTCCTGACAATAAGAGGAAATAAAAAAGAAGAAAACGTAAAAAATAAAAATTAAAATTAAAAAAAACAATAAAACATATCAACAAATCAATAAAACAACAGCGGTACTTTTACCAATCCCCTAAAAAAAGAAGAAAGGCATTACTATTTTATTCACTGTGCATATATATATATATATATATATATATATATATATATATATATATATATATATATATATATATACAGAGAGAGAGAGAGAGAGAGGGAAAGAAGGAGAAAGAGTAATATATAGATACATACTAGCAAAGTGAAAGATTGATAGATATTAAAATAGATATTTATATCTATATGCGGATACAGAGATTGGACGATAAATATAAATATTGGTCTATGCAGATAAAACAACTCCCAAATAGAATTATTTTAGTTAAAGGTAATAATAATAATAATAATAATAATAATAATAATAATTTATTTAATATCTGATTTTTTTTTAACTTACCTAATAAACTTACCTAATAAACTACAGTTCCGCCCAGCTCACCCCATTTATTTCTTTTTTCATGACAATAAGAGGAAGTAAAGAAATCAAGAATCATAAAACAGAACAATAAAATATATCAACAAATCAATAAAACAACAGAAGTACTTGTACGCATCCCCCTAAAAAAAATTGAAATACATATACAGGGTGTTGGTAGAAGCTAATAAGGTACTGACACCGATCAGACAAGAAAATACTTTAATAATTGTTTATAAGATAATATATATATATATATATATATATATATATATATATATATATATATATATATATATATATATATTTTTTAATAAAAGACAGACCACGTTAAGATTCCATGTGATAAGCTATTTCACCATAACCCTTTAACAGGGTTCTGGATCATCAGACTTTACTTCCAAAAGCTGAAATGAAAATGAAAAGAAATTCACACGTTTTTTACGGACCTCATCAAGTATACGTAAAGTTAACGAAGTGAGGAAGTGAGGTGGGAGAGAGGATATGAGTGTGTCATATGTATCATTTTAGTTTCCTATTTTAACCCCAGTGTGTCGGCTAGATGTTGCTCAAATATATATATATATATCCCATGTGAATTTCCAGTAACTTCTTAAAATGAACACATGGGTTGAATATCAAGACGGACTGGGTTTTTTCGCCTTGGTTGGCAACCAGTCTACCGCAGAAAGAAATTGTAACCTACTGCGGGAAAAATCGTCAGTCATTTATCGAAAGATAAGTGTGTATTATGTATGACCACTTAAATGACTGATCTGGCCTGGGTAATGCAAACTCAGCGGACAATAGTGTATAGTAGCGGATCAGGTGTTGTTGTGATCACTGCTTTTATGTGCACTCTTCTTTCAGATCCTTTCAGTAAAATGGCGACCAGGTCCTTTCAGTAAAATGGCGATCAGGTCCTTTCAGTAAAATGGCGATCAGGTCCTTTCAGTAATTGGGCGATTTACAACCTCTTATTCCTTTTGGTGCTTAGCAACACTTGTCCTTGTACCATCCCTCCTACATTTCATTCCGCCACTCATTGACACAAGCTCGTCACTTAGGTGGCTCCTTGCTTTCCCCTTTTTCTTCAATATGTCCTGTGAGTGTCCAATTCTACAAACCTTCCTTCCTCACTATGCGTCCCACAAATTTCAGCTGTCCCTTTCTGATTCTGAGTGTCAGTGTTCATTTTGTCGTCATTTTCTTTGAGACTTCTTCGTTGTTTACATGAGCCAAACATGGCACTCTCAGAATCCTTCCATCGAACCACATTTCTCTTGCCTCCTATTTTCTCTTCATCTGGAAGGAGATTGTCCAGCAATCATTGCCATTTTGTAATGAGTTTCCCTTTTGCGACTCTACTCTGTTTAAGGCACCTGAGTTGGTTTAGTTGGTGTGGTCAGCTTTTTTGACGGCCATTTTGGAAATCGTTTTTCGTCTTATTCAGAAAGCCTATTTGTTCCTGCGGCCCGCTTTCTCTCACAGCGAAAGTTTTGTTTTGTTTTTTTTTTTTGTTTTTTTTTTTTGGGGGGGTCTGACATAATACTAAATTCTTCACAACTAAATCTAGGTTATGGATAATTGGCTGTGTATTCAGTCAATTGGCATGGGTGATTCCACAATTCTTATAATATTGGCTCGCCGATGGGGACAGTGATACCATCAGCAAACAGATATCTGGGAAATACATCATTTTATTTTCTTGTGATTTTGTTTACAAGAGATTAATCTTAATTGGAAGAGCTGGAACCATGAAGAATGCCCACGGTTAAGACCTGGAGTCTGCCAACCAACAAAATGGAAGGGAAGTCAAAATTTACAAGAATTTTTCTTAAGCAATACGAACTGGAATCACAAAGAAAGCCTACTGTAAAAAAATATAATTACGTTAAGAAATGATGCAGGTACGACCAATATTTCATCCGTAGAACCTGTTATACGCAAACATCTGTTAATAGTTCGACGTCAGTTTTTTCCTTACGCATTTCAGTATTTTCAAAATATTAACCAACTAATATGGATAGTTTTCAGGCTTATATAATAACTAGCAGCATGGCCCGGCGTTGCCCGTGCTTGATTCAAAAATCGTACGACTCATACAGCAATCGCTATCACTTGACTTAAAATATTTTTGCCCTTCCTTGCCTTTAAAAGAGTGCCCTTTGCCATGCTGATGTTGCTACATGCCTTATTTCTTGCCTATCTCATACTGCGAATTTTTCTAAGTTCTATACTAAACATTAAATCTGTTACGAAAAAAGAACTAAACAAAATGAACACAAAACGATAAGCTTTAAAAAAGGACTTGTAACTGGAAAAACCGAATGAAAAAAGAATGTTAACAACAAATACTTTTTCATAACCATCCCAGTTCTGCGGAATCAGAATCAACGTTGAGTTTAAGCAAGCGAATGAGCCAATTGGAGTAAAGTGCCATGCAGATTTAAATTTTTCCCACTTGTGACGAATGCAGCTATCGATTTTTTTTTTTTTTTTGCATGCTAGCATGCTAGTTAACATTCGTGTCAGTCAGCTGTTGGATCTCACGCTGGCCAATAGAATCTTCCTGCCTATTCGTGGAAGCCAGCTATTGGCTCTCACTCTGGCCAGTACAAAATGGCCGCAAACTACATGAAAACTGCTGTAGAAGCATGAAAAAATCGATTATTTCTACTATCGATGGGAGTTGGGAAATGCAAAGTCGGTCTTGGCCTTTCCCGCTAACTTGGAGCATGTGCATGTAAATTTTGGTGCAAATCCGTCGAAAATTGCGGCCGTGCATTCGTTACACACACACACACACACACACACACACACACACACACACACACACATCCTGCCTTTTATAGATAGAGATTATACCGTGCCACTTTCAGCTGATAAAGTCTGTTACAGTTATATATATTCGCAGTACCTGATTTGGTGGTGTCAGATTTTATTATGCAACTCAACGTTTGTTCATTATATAGTAAATAAATCAACATCAGTCCAATGACCAGGCGTGGTTTTAGGATCACTGCCTAGCTGCGCACCTGACTACTTCCCTTCCCATATCCTAATTCAAAGACGGAGAGCTATTTATCCATATATAAAGTGTCTTAGGCAGGTAGATCTGGCAGAGCCCATCCCTCTCCATGTCAAGCTACAGCTGATGTTCTTCAACTTGAACGCTCGCCTTGGTCAAAGGTACGTTGCTGTTGATTGCATCTGGATGAACACTCCCCCCACTAGCTTTTGACTTCAGTCAATGAAGCACCTCCACCAAGCGATGCTATGTCACCACCGCCCCGGCTGAATCTATAGCTATGGAATCTAGCCTGCTCTGTTGCGTTGGGTGGCCATTGACCCAACAAAAAGGCTCAACAGCTCATTGACAGGTCCTGCTGGGTGTCTAGCTACCTTCCTCGCCAGAAAAGACGGGAGTAGGGACCGGTTTAGCCGCCGATGACCCCGACCATACAGCAGATATTACTCGATTAGATGCTACCAGTAATGACCTGAGAAAAATAAATATCATTTAATAGTCATGTAGATAAGGTGATTAATGATCTCGTGCATTACATTTCTGCTTTAATGAAATGGAAATCCTTGTCAATTTTAAGTTTTTTTTTTATTTGTACCCTCTTACTTCTTCAAATAATGCCCGGCTTTCATACTTATGATTATTATTGCGATATTTTGCTAAAGTTGTTAAGTTCAAATATTTAACGAACAATAGTGGAAATTCCACGGGTGTTTTATAGTCGGGGAACTGACTTAGTCAAGCTTATTGCATCTTTAACATGTGTATTCTGCAGGAGTAATACGAATAACGGTTAAGAGCAAAAATGAATCCGTCCCTCTGACAGGCCAAAGTAAAAAAATAAATAAATAAATAAACAAATCCCAATTGGTCAGAATTTATACACCGAATTAAATAAAAGGGTCGATTTGAGTAAACACAAATACTAGTGAAGGTGAAATTGTGGAAAATTTTTAACCAAGGACGCGTTTCGCTGGAGAAAATCTTAGCTTATGTTCTCTTTGGCTTCATCAGTTCAACTGGAGAACAAATATTAATACAATTCTTGCAATCATGGAGAAGCTATACCAGAATGCTAACGAGAAATGATCTCGTCGATCGAGAAATCTCAAGAAATGTTGAGTCGGTACAGACCACGGCGTTGAATGCGTGTGCGAAGATGTATTGTAGCCACGGAAGTGTAAACTTCCAGAGTTTGTCTATATTTCTGAGATGAGGTATTATGTACAGTATTTACATTAGTCGGACTATTGTCCTCATCTTTGTTGCCATATTTGTCACAACGTTTCGGCCGTTGTACGCTCCGGCCTTCTTCAGGTGGTTGGAATGTCGAACCGAACCCTTTATTTCGCTCACTGGGGTAGACTGTTCTAGTTCCACGTGCCATGTTTTATGGATGTCAGTTATCAGTTATCTCCTGTTAATTTTCCCTCTGAAAGTTGGTTAGATCGTGACAGACCCAAAGAAGGTGAGTTCAATACCTGGTTAAGGCAGTGGAGAACTTTCAGATCGCCCGGTTCAAACTCCTCCCTGGGTGTTTGGAACAGAAGTAGAGGCTTATTTCTTGTTTCATGTTTAGGATTGGGTTTCTGGTTCCTCTTAAAATCTACTTCAACTCTTATACTTCTAACGTCTCCATCTAAAACTCTGAACTTTTATTTACTACGGATTTAGTTTTTCTTTTCTCAATAGGAGTAGCTATGTTTGCCTATCATCTGGTTCGCATTGCCTTTGGAATAGGAGGAGATGTTTATCCCTTGGTTAGTGTTTAGAGTTGGATTTCCGATCCCTTTTAGAGCCTCTTCATTTTATTTCACTTCCGGCGGCTCCTTTCATCATGGCGGCATTATCTCCTTGCTTGGAGTGGTGCCTCTTGCTCTGTAATCGAGTGGATTCCGGAACTTGTAAAGGGTGAACATTGTAAAAAAAAAAAAAAAAAGATCAAGATTTCTTGGAGACGTAACCGTTCAACTGACCACGGAAATATTGAAATAGAAGAAAGAGTTACGAAAATCTCTTGACCTTGTAAAAAAATATGTAAAAAGAACCGG